GGTGCACACACCCGCCCAGTTCCACACCCTTATGTGCATGTCCCCCGAGCAACTGACAATCTGCACAAAGTGAAGACGCACACATCATTGTTGTTGAGGTGTAAGCAAAGCGGATGAGAGGACTCAGACGATGCCCTCCTCGACGTTGCAAGAGAGAAGCATGAGCAAGAAGCAGAACGGCGACGCGCATGTGGTCTCGTGTATTGTGTGCAGATGTGGGCACCACTTGTTCTAATTGTGTGGTGTGTGTGTGTGTGTGTCTGTGTTGTGAACAGGCACACGGGCAGCCGCCCTATTTTGACGAAGGGCTGATGGAGGCTGCGTGCGATCACGCAACGACTGCCACCACGGCTGTCTGACTTTGGCCATGAGGGCAAGAAAAGGAAGAAGTGGTCACACAACTTTGAAGATTTTGTAGCCACCAAGGAGCCCAATGAGTGACCAACAGGCAACACCCCCCCCCACCTCACACTCACAGCATTGCCCACAGTGCAGTCTAATCATGTGGGGCCCAAAAAACAGCCAAGGCGCTTCTGCTGCACCCATTTGTGGCAAGCCAAACTGTCACTGCCCAGCAGAGGGACTGCCTTTGGCACACTTGCAACTCTCAACAAGGCAGAGCCTGATCCAAAGATAGATGTACGTTTATTTAGATTTTGTTTAGTGTTAAATGATATGCTGACAAACTTGTTCATGTAGATGCAGGTCAGTGGAAAGAGCTTGGCAGCATTGCTCCTCAGCATCAAGGGCTTGAAGAAGGTGGCTGATGACACTTTTGAAACCACATGGAAGGCGTTGAAGAAGGGTCTGGTGTGTTGTAGTATGCAATGGCATGGTCCAAAGTATGTCACCTCTGTTGAGAAGATGGTGATTCCTGGCTATGAACAGTTTGCAACAATGTTCAACTGGTGTGACATCAACATGAAGATGTGGACCTGCTACTGAGCTCCCTGTGTGGCACACTGACAATGAGGAGCTGAAGGTGGCAATCTGCAGCCTTATGCAGGCCAAAAAAGTAGTCATTAAGAAAATGAGTATCAAGGTCTTCCTCCCACATGCCATCTGCCATGACCTCCCTTCCATCATCAGTGTCTGCCTTGGCCACCAGATTGAAGGTACACTAACCCATGCCCTATTCTTAGCTAGCCCCTTGCTCATCTCTGTGCATTTGGTGCAGCAGCCCCCTTGACCTCACCAGTGTTGCTGAAGAGAGGTAGGGTTGCCACCAGGTCAGAGATGTCTGAGACTTATTAAGGTACATGTTTGTTTTCTCATCTCTCATTGTCTCAGTTTTCAACTCACACATACATACACTCACCACCTACTTTTGCTTCAGAAGCTTGAGAGCTACAGGCGAGGCTGCTAGTCATGGGAGCATTGAACTGCCTCATGAAAAGCATGCCATTGGTACACACTCACACACACCTGCATCGCCACACTTGCGCCACAGCACACATCATGGTTTACTAATGCTGATTCATTGCTGCATTATGTGTAGGTGTGGGCAGGGACGTGGTGGGGTGTCACAAGGATGGCCCTGTCCATCTCATGTGCCTCATCCTTCCTATCTTTCCTCACTCACCAAAGGACGCCATGGCAACGTTGATGATGGACATCCATTCTCCTGTCTTCAGCTCCTTCTGTTGGGTTTTGTGATTAAAAACTGTGTTTTCTCCACTTCATCTGCCCATGATCAACCCCACTTGTCCTTTGGGAGTGTTTTCCACCAATGTCCCACTTAGCCTTTGCTAAGTGGGACAAAACCAGAGCCTGCTCAGCACAAGGACTCTGCTGTGGTGAGATCCATGAGAGCAGGTGGGTGAGTCTGGAGAGTTTTCACAAGTGAGCTCTTATTTTCTAGCAGTGTGAAAACTCATACAACAACTTGAGGCAAAGGAGGGGCAGGCAACAGCAGCAGCACTGCAAGCGCAGGTGAGATGCAAACAACAACACATAAAGTCTGTATGCATGTACACCAGGCAGGTGATGGCAGGGCCTTGTGGAACGTGACACTGGTTGATAGAGTGGATGGCCTCCTTTGTCATGTCTCCTCTCATAGTATGTGCCAATAGCACACATTCCATGATGGCACAGTTGTTGGCTCCATCATACACAAGATTATCAAGAAGGCACAGCATCATCCACCATTCTACAGCGTCATCCATGGAACAAGAAGCTCACATTATGGTCTCTCTGTGACAATGTCATCATACCTGTTGAAACACATGTAGTAGCAATCCACAAAGGAGGGAAACTTGGAGAGTATGTACATGGTCATGACACAACCCTGCTGCATCCATACAGGCAGGCCTGACTGCTCAATTATACAAACAACCTTGGGCTGTTTCTCACAGACACCCTCACCTTCTCTTCTCATGGCTCCCTTTTCTGTCATTGCTCTACCATTGCCACCACCAGGTTTCCCTCCCTGTGCATTTGGTTGTGTTTGTGGTTGTTTCGTTGATGACTGTGTGCTCTTCTTCATAAGTGGTATCTTTCTCTCTCTCTACAATAACATTAAATGAAAAAAAAACCAATGGCTGTGTAGGAGTGTAGGGGAATTAGACCAGCTGGGTCTCAAGTAGATGGGCCTCAGGGAGGTCCTTACCCTTGTCATGTAAGAAGAAGTCCTTTATTTACCCCTTGGTAACATATAATATGGGAGAGTTAACTCCAGTGGTAATTGTAGGGAAATCCCATTTCCCTCAGGGTTTTCCTCAGGTGTGATATTGCCACACCCTGAGGTGTGGCTAAGTTGGACTCTGCCACATACCCCCCAACTAAGTCAGAACCATCACAGTTCCACCTTGCAGCCAATGGCTGTCAAGGTAGTCCTGGACAAGGCAGTCAGCTTGGATGTCAGCAGCTGGTACCCACATGTCATCTCATGCAGTGTAGCCCACCCATCAGACCTTGTACTCACAGCCATTCTTTCAGTCACAGTGGTCAACAATCCTCAACCTCATATTCCTCATCCATCAAGGCAGGAGCTGGTTGTTGTTTCTCCTCCTCAGTACTCCACTTCTCACAGAACAGCTTCACTCACTCCATGTTGAGCTTGAAGTCATGTCCCTTCAGATGGCACAGCACTACAACTTGCAGAGAAGCTTGCTGGACAACGTCAAACAGACCCATCCACTTCTTCACTAGCTTCCTAGCTCAGCCCTTCACAGGTTGTCAAACCAGGACTAAGTCTCCCAGCACATAGCTGCCTCCCTTCCATGCACTGTGTTGCAGGACCATCTCTTTCTTCACTTGGTCCTGGGACACCATGACTTGGTCATGAATGATCCACTGGGCT